AGGGACTATACATGCTCTCTGCCCAATCCTAGGTACCTTCCCTCTTTCATACATTTATTAAACAAAAGTACCAACCACTCCAACACTATATCCCTCCCCTGCTTTTAACATTTCTGTCATGATCCCATCAGTTCCAGCTGCTTTACCCCTTTCATTTACGTAATGCCTCACGTACCTCCACACACTTCATTCTGCTCTTCTTCACTCCTAAAAGATGGTATACCTCCCTGGCCGTGCATGAAATTACCGCCTCCATTTCTTCCCCAACATTTAAAAGTTCCTCAAAATATTCTCGCCATCTACCTTAAAACCTCCCTCTCCCCATCTACTAACTCCCCTACTCTGTTTTTAACGGACAAATCCATACTTTCCCCAGGCTTTCTTAACTTATTTAACTCACTCCAAAATTTTTTTTTATTTTCATTAAAATTTCTTGACAGTGCCTCTCCCACTCTTTCATCTGCTCTCCTTTTGCACCCCTCTCACCACTCTCTTCACCTTTCTTTTACTCTCCCTATACTCTGCTTTCTTATAACACTTTTGCTTTGTAAAAAAAAACCCCTCGTAAAGCTACCTTTTCTCTTTTATCACACCCTTTACTTCATCATTCCACCAATCACTCCTCTTTCCTCCTGCCCCCACCCTCCTATAACCACAAACTTCTGCCCCACATTCTAAAACTGCATTTTTAAAACTATTCCCAACCTCTTCAACCCCCCCCACTACTCATCTTTTCACTAGCCCCCCTTTCTGCCAATAGTCGCTTATATCTCGCCCGAACTTCCTCCTCCCTTAGTTTATACACTTTCACCTCCCTCTTACTTGTTGTTGCCACCCTTCCTCTTTTCCCCTTACCTCTTACTCTAACTGTAGCTACAACTAAATAATGATTTACATATCAGTTGCCCCTCTATAAACATGTACATCCTGGAGCCTACCCCTCAACCTTTTATCCACCAATACATAATCTAATAAATACTTTCATTACGTGCTACATCATACTTGTATATTTATTTATCCTCTTTTTCATAAAATATTATTACTTATTTTCCAAATTTCTTTCTACACATAGCTCAATTAAGGCTCCCCCTGATACATTTACCCCTGGCACCCCAAATTTACCTTTCTACTCCTCCATAACATTTTTACCCACTTTAGCATTGAATCCCCAACCACCATTACTCTCAACTTGATTCAAAACTCCCCACGCATTCACTCAACATTTCCCAGAAAACTCTCTCCCCTCCTCTACACTTCTTTCTTCTCCAGGTGCAAACACGCTTATATAACCCACTTTTCACATCCAATCTTCATTTTACTCCCCCATTAATCCTTGAATTTAGCATTTGTAGTCCCTCTTTTCCTGCCTTTGCTTATCCTTCAACTTATTGCTATCCTTCTTTAGCTCTAATCTATTTGAAACCCCTGACCTAACCCATTTAATTCCTCTCCATTGAAACTCTCCCACCCCCTTCAGCTTTGTTTCACTTAAAGCCAGGACATCAGCTTTTTCTCATTCATAACATCCACAATTATCTCTTTCTTATCATTTGCAAAAAATCCACGCACATTCAGACTTCCCACTTTGACAATTTTTTCTTCTTCTTATTTTTTTAGTAATCTTTAAGGAAAGGGGTTATTAGCCCATTGTTCCGGCATTTTAGTTTGACTTTTTCAACACGCATGGCTTACGGAGGAAAGATTCTTATTCCAATTCCCCATGGATATAAAAGGAAAAGTAATAAGACCAAGACTATTAAGATAAAATCAAAGAAAAACTCAGATGAGTGTGTATAAATAAACATGTACATGTATGTGTAGTGTGACCTAAAATGTAAGTAGAAAGTAGCAAGACGTACCTGTAATCTTGCATATTTATGAGACAGACAAAAAGACACCAGCAATCCCACCATCATGTTTAAAAAAATTACAGGCTTTCGTTTTACACTCACTTGGCAGGACGGTAGTACCTCCCTGGGTGGTTGCTGTTACCAACCTACTACATTATATATATATATATATAAATATATATATATAATAAATATATATAAAATATATATATATATTATATATAATATATGCAATAAGATCACAGTAAAAAGGTGATTTCAGAATATGCAAAACAACCCACTGTGAAAGAATAGAGAAATTCCAAGCGCTTTCGTGACTACTCACATTATGTGAGTAGTCACGAAAGCGCTTGGAATTTCTCTCTTCTTTCACAGTGGTTGTTTTGCATATATATAATATATATATATATATATTATATATATATATATATATATATATATATATATATATATCGTGCCGAATAAGCAGAACTTGCGATCTTGGCTTAAATAGCAACGCTCATCTTGCCATATAGGACAAGTGAAAATTTGTGTATGCAATAATTTTGCCAAAATCATTCTGAACCTAAAGAAAAAAATATATTTCACTGTGTTTGGTTAGTATTAAATTATTGTAAACAAATCTAAAATATATTTAGTTGGGTTAGGCTAAAATAAATTGTTCTTGTTATAATAAGGTTAGGTAAGTTTTCTAAGATTCTTTTGGTGCAAAATTATAAATTTTTACATCAACATTAATAAAAAATATATATCTTTAAACGTATAAGAGAAAATTATATATATATATATATTATATATATATTATATATATTTATATATATATATATATATATATATAATATAATATATATATATATATATATATATATATATATATATATATATATATATACAAAGTCGTGCCGAATAGGTCAAATTTGCTATATTGGCTTAAACAGCAAATGCTCTCTTGCCGAATAGAGCAAGTGAAATTTGTGTATGCAGTAATTTCGCAAAATCATTCTGAACGTAACGAAAAGAAATATATTTCATTGTGTTTGTTTATTATTACATTATTGTAAACTTATCTAAAATATATTTAGCTGCATTAGGCTAAATTAAATTGCGCTTGTTATAATAAGGTTAGGTAAGTTTTCTAAGGTTGTTTTGGTCCAAAAAATATTAATTTTTACATTAACATAAATGAAAAATATATCTTTAAACGTATAAGAGAAAGTTTTTAGGAGACTTAATTTTAAACGAGTTCTTGCTAACTGACCAGTTTTTACCTATTCGGCACGACATATATATATACATATATATATATATATATATATATATATATATATATATATATATATATATATATATATATATATAATATTATATATTAATATATATTATATACATATATATTATATATAACATATATATATATATATATATTATATATATATTATATATATATAATAATATATATATATATATATATATATATATATATATATATATATATATATTTATATATATATATATATTAAAAGTAGGTCTTAGACAGGGATGTGTAATGTCACCATGGTTGTTTAATATATTTATAGATGGGGTTGTAAAAGAAGTAAATGTTAGGGTGTTCGGGAGAGGGGTGGGATTAAATTATAGGAGTCAAATACAAAATGGGAATTGGCACAGTTTACTTTTTGCTAATGATACTGTGCTTATGGGAGATTCTAAAGAAAAAATGCAATGGTTAGTGGACGAGTTTGGGAGTGTGTGTAAAGGTAGAAAGTTGAAAGTGAACATAGAAAAGAGTAAGGTGATGAGGGTATCAAATGATTTAGACAAAGAATAAAATTGGATATCAAATTGGGGTGGAGGAGTATGGAAGAAGTGAATGTTTTCAGATACTTGGGAGTTGACGTGTCGGCGGATGGATTTATGAAGAATGAGGTTAATCATAGAATTGATGAAGGAAAAAAAGTGAGTGGTGCGTTGAGGTATATGTGGAGACAAAAAACGTTATCTATGGAGACAAAGAAGGGAAAGTATGAAAGTATAGTAGTACCAACACTCTTATATGGGTGTGAAGCTTGGGTGTAAAGGCTGCAACGAGGAGGCTGTTGGAGGCAGTGGAGATGTCCTGTCTAAGGGCAATGTGTGGTGTAAATATTATGCAGAAAATTCGGAGTGTGTAAATTAGGAGAAGGTGTGGAGCTAATAAAAGTATTAGTCAGAGGGCTGAAGAGGGTATGTTGAAGTGGTTTGGAGCCTCAAGGAAGGTTCCTTCATGTTGATGAGGGGCTCTTGATTTAGGGAATTGGATCTGTGCTCCAGTTCCCCGAATTAAGCCTGAATGCCTTCCACATCCCCCCCAGACGCTGTATAATCCTCCGGGTTTAGCGCTTCCCCCTTGATTATAATAATAATGAGGTGGTTTGGTTATTTAGAGAGAATGGATTAAAGTAGAATGACATGGAGAGCGTATAAATCTGTAGGGGAAGGAAGGCGGGGTAGGGGTCGTCCTCGAGAAGGTTGGAAAGGGGGGGGTAAAGGAGGTTTTCTGGCCGAGGGGCTTGGACTTCCAGCAAACGTGCGTGAGCGTGTTCAATAGGAGTGAATGGAGACGAATGGTATTTGGGACCTGCGGAGCTGTTGCAGTGTGAGCAGGGTAATATTTAGTGAAGGGATTCAGGGAAACCGGTTATTTTTATATAGCCGGACTTGAGTCCTGGAAATGGGAAGTACAATGCCTGCACTTTAAAGGAGGGGTTTTGGATATTGGCAGTTTGGAGGGATATGTTGTGTATCTTTATACGTATATGCTTCTAAACTGTTGTGTTCTGAGCACCTCTGCAAAAACAGTGATTATGTGTGAATGAGGTGAAAATGTTGAATGATGATGAAAGTATTTTCTTTTTGGGGATTTTCTTTCTTTTTGGGTCACCCTGCCTCGGTGAGAGACGGCCGACTTGTTTTATACACACCACACACACACACACACACACACACACACACACACACAATATATATATATATATATATATATATATATATAATTATATATAATATATTATATATAATATATATATAATGTCGTACCGAATAGGCAGAACTTGCGATCTTGACTTAAATAGCAACGCACATCTTGCCATACAAGACAAGTGAAAATTTGTGTATGCAATAATTTCGCCAAAATCATTCTGAACCTAACGAAAAAAATATATTTCACTGTGTTTGTTTAGTATTAAATTACTGTAAACAAATCTAAAATATATTTAGTTGGGTTAGGCTAAAATAAATTGCTCTTGTTATAATAAGGTTAGGTAAGTTTTCTAAGATTCTTTTGGTGCAAAATTAATTTTTTTTACATTAACATTAATGAAAAAACATATCTTTAAACGTATAAGAGAAAATTTCAGAAAGGACTTAATTTTAAATGAGTTCTTGCTAACTGACCAGTTTTACATATTCGGCACGACATATATATATATAGTGGCTGATGGAGTAGACACTATAGTGGGCACTCACGTGAGAAGGATGGATATGTCTCCACGGTCTGCGGATTCGATCATATACCAGAAGGAGAGGCAGCAGGGTGGCTCCTGGGCGGCCAGTGGAGGCAGGACAGCCCTCCCGCTCCACCCACTCATTCCTCCCAATATTGATAGGCTCCCCAGGTCTGGTGGTCAACACAACACTACTTAGGCTCTACTGCTAGGTTTTTTTTCCACATGTCTAATAATGAAAGACATAGTTACAAAACTTTCTCTCTCTCTCTCTCTCTCTCTCTCTCTCTCTCTCTCTCTCTCTCTCTCTCTCCTCCCCGCCCCCCTCCATGTATTTAACTGCCACATAAGATGGGACCTACTTTCCGAAATGCATCTTCTCTTCGGTTTTTAAATTTGAAATTGTACTTTGGTAATTTTATTATGTATCTCATGGCCATCCTGTAGGAAGCAGTACAGAGACAAACACTGCCTCCGGGGACTTGGGTTACTCTCCTACTTATGATCAAAACCACGAACAAAATATTAAAATAAAAATTATTAGTATGATAAATACATGGTTGTGGTTGGTAGTGTTGGTCCAGGTGGCCAGAGTCCACCGGGCTTCTCCTGTAATCACTAGATCGCACTCTGTGCCACGAAGTAGCAGTTCCAGATAACTGTCGGCTCTGTAGAAGCCTGGTTCTTGGAGACCAGGTGGTCAAGAGCGACCCTTGGCGTTTCATGGCCATGGTTCGTCCTCACTGTTTAAACAGTAAAGTAATTGTTCAGTATTTTGTTACCTATTATGTAAGCCATGTTTTTTGCTTTGAAATTCATTTCTGTAAATACTATAGTTTTCCTAATTTTCCTCCTTGTTTTACAGTTTATTAATAATGATATCACTTTGGCCTGATTACCTTTGTGAGAATGAAGGTCCTAGTATATTACGATATGAATCTTAAAAGGACACAAGTGCAACTAATGTGACATTTTATTGTGGCAACGTTTCGCTCTCCAGGAGCTTGACAAAGCTCCTGGAGAGCGAAACGTTGCCACAATAGAATGTCACATTAGTTGCACTTGTGCCCTTTTACTTTACATACTGTCAGTAATTCTACCAACATTATTACGATATGAACCTTGCCAACACTAGCAACTGTCACAATTAATATTGCCCAAAGAATTAGGTCGCCAATTGACTTCAAGGCTTCACAAACACCATCAAAACTAGTACTCACCTAACTGTACTCACCTAATTGTGGTTGCAGGGGTCGAGACTCAGCTCTTGGCTCCGCCTATTCACTGGTCGCTACTTGGTCCTCTCTCTCTCTGTTCCATGAGCTTTATCATACCTCGTCTTTATACTTTGTATTGTTCCTGCCTCGGCTACATTACTTGCCAGACTACTCCACTTCCTGATAACTATGACTGAAGAAAAAACTTCCTACATTCTTTGACCATTGAGTCTTCAAATTCCAAAATTT